CCCTCTAAAATTATTCCTCCCTTCTCTTTCTAAGAACCATTTACTTATTTTGATTGGGAGCATCCCTTTCCTTGCCTCATATATTATTTGCACTGTTTTAAACTTCACCAGATGTCTATTTGAGACAGGCAAAAATAATAATACTTGTGGCAGCCAGTGGCCTCCTCAGCCTCCTGGTACCTGCACCGATGGTATCAATTTGAAATCTATGTCCCTTCATTCTCGAGTCATCGTGTCCACAAACTTGGGTGTGCGCGTCGCCCGCTCGCACAGCAGGGTGACGACAACACCCCGTCGGCCTTTTACAGACGAGGGGTAATAAAAAGTAACAAAAAACCAAACACAGGATGATCTCACCAGCAAGACCCAGCAGGCCAATCGCCAAGACCCTCCCCAGGTCCCGCAGAACTTTCTGGGCCGTAGCCTTCAGCTGCTCAGCCAGCTGCTTGGCTCTGGTTACTGTGGAAACCTCATCAGCATCACCAGCTAATGACCTCTCTTCTTCATCTTCCTCTCCTGTTGCCTCTTCTTCATTATCATCATCACAGTCACTGTTATCATCATCCCCGATGTCTTCTGTGTCGTCTGTTGAATTATGTTCTAGCTGAGACGTGTAGGAATGAAAAGAAAGACGTGCTTTAGAAATGACATCATCCAGAGGATTTCTTCAGTCAGTGCTGGAGCTGATATCCTACACTTTATTTCTGCGGACCCTGTGACACATTCTCAGCTCTACTGATGTAAAAATCTGATGAAATAAATGTAGAAATCTGAGTATACAGTACTGTGCAAAAAGTCTTGAGCCGATCCTTGTTTCATGATATCTTGTAATGCTTTCTGGGTGTTTCAGAGGCTTTCTTTAGACATCGGCTGCTTACAAAAGAACGCATCTTTTATATTTTGACCTGGTGCGTCGTAACAATATGTGGCAAGTGGACAAACGTAAGGCAAAAGTAAAAGTGTGAGGCCTAAAAGCAAAAAACTACAGTAGATGAACTGAAACTCATGTGCTGTTCACTGAAGTCTCAGAGAAATGGTCTCAGTAAAAAGGAATTCTTAACCTCTTAAATGTGGACATCACATTTAAGAGGTTGTTAGACCACAATAGCAAATGTTACACATACAGGTGTGAACATGTTTGAAAGAAAGATAAAGATAAAGATAAAGACACACATTTAAACATATGCAAAGAGACTCACCGATGTAATGTTGGCAGCAGCCACCATTTCTCTGTTCCTGACCAATCTGCTGCAGAGGACGACTGTTACCAACGCAACGACACACACACCAAGGTCTGGGCACAGAAGACGGGCCACTTTCCAAGGGTCGTCCAAGGGAAGCCTATGACACACGTGCACATGTAAGGCTGTTACAATCATAGGATAAATAAAGTATATCTTGTTTTATCTCAACTCATCTAAAACATTTCAGAGATATCATAGACATACACATTGCATGGTGGATGTATGGATATCATTATAATCCAGAGTTCTGTCAGGAACACTGGATTCATTCAAATGTTATTTGACACATTACTGCAAATCAAGCAAAAAGTTAGATACATGACTAACAGAAGACGATGTCTTCACCAAATAAACACAGAATGCTAAAAGATGAATATATACATGCAACAGTGGATTTAAGGTCGTCTCCTGCCAAGTTCATACTAATCTAATCAGTTTAATCTGCAGCTTTACAAAAACAGCATCCAGCCCACGTGACATAGATGCACACGGACAGGAAGAAGGTGTCCTGCAACAGACGCTCTGGTCACTAATCGTTATCATAGCGTGAGTTTGGGAAAACACAAAAGGATAGAAGACAGGCAGTTCGTAGAAGTTTTGCAACTTCTCCAAGATGTTCGTTACCAAGGACCGTGAAGACCTGTGTGCAACTCTAACAATGGGAATAAGTGATGGTTTAAAAGGCGCTTTCATTAAAGTAAACTGAATGAAATGTGATTAAATGTACAGCGCTGTGTTCAAATGAAAAAGTATTAATGGCAGTGTTTTAAAATAAGCATCTTCACTTCAGTATTTTGTTCCTCATGTATCTATTCAGTTCAATTTATTTTTAATTCTCTTATTTATATCGTGTAAAACTTACAACAACTTTCATCTAAAGGTGCTAAAATAATACAGAGAAAGGCCAAACAATCATGTGACCCCCCTGTGAGCAAGTGCGTTGCAAGTGCAAAGGAAAAAATAACTTTGTGGGAGAAGCAGGCTCAGGGAGGAGGCAGCGGTCTGCCACGACTGGCTGAGGGTGAGGAGAAAAGGCGAGAGCGGTGGGAGGCTTTGCGTTTACTTGTAGGCTACATTTACCATCAGTGACACTGACACATGGTGCAACTCATAGATAGTTACATGGTTACCTACCTCGACAGTCCTATATGTCTGGTTATGGTATTCCATTGTGAGCAGTTATCACCTATTGCAGTGTTGAGAGGAGGATATGTGTATAGTACTGTCTGGAAGCAGATATGAGCCAGAACAAACAGCAGACTGGTGCAGAATATCGCTCTGATGAAGCGTCCTGTGTGACCTGAAAGACAGGAGAGATACAGAAACTGTTAAATGCAGCATAAATAAAACAATATATTCAACCAAGATAATAAATCTTTATTTTACAGACATGGAATAAGTGTCCTTATGCAAGACACTGAATCCTGAACTGCCCCCAGTGTGTCTGAGTGTGTGACTGAGTGTGTGACTGAGTGTGTGACTGAGTGTTTCAATGTTAGACAAACTGCTTACGCTGCATCCACACTGGAAGCAATTTGCGCGTCAGCCATCGTAATGAAGCTGACAGCTGGTCATTTGTGGACATTCGGGCTCTAGATGACTAGCTTTATCCTGTCTTCCTTCTCTCATCCCAACCAATCACAGCAGATGGCCCCGCCCCTCCCTGAGCCTGGTTCTGCTGGAGGTTTCTTCCTGTTAAAAGGGAGTTTTTCCTTCCCACTGTCGCCAAAGTGCTGCTCATAGGGGGTCATATGATTGTTGGGTTTTTCTCTGTATCTATGAAGCGCCTTGAGGCGACTTTTGTTGTGATTTGGCGCTATATAAATAAAATTGAAATTGAATTGAATTGACTAGCTGACCCTCTAATGCATTTACTACCAAGTCAATCATTAGTGTACTTCACTCTCATTGGTAGTCACTTCAGCCTAAAAGTTGAGAGAAGTTTATCATGGTTCCTGCTCATGCCCACACTTCCCAGTGTCAGTGATTATTTCGCCCTTTATTCCCTTGAAGACATCATTGACTTTCTGTAGTCTCTGACTGCCACATGACTGCTAGTGACTCCCAGTGTGCACACAGCTTTAGACATTGGCTTCATTACTGATTCATTACTCAACCTTCAGAATTCAAAGACATCCCAAAATCAAAATGACAAATGACGTGGCGGGCGTGTTCATTTTGCTGCAGTTTCATTATAAGAAATGGTCCTCAGTAGTTTGTGTGGTCTCCGTGTGCTAAATGGTTTGATACCATTTCTATTTGACAATATATACGAATATCATCGTCATACATTTTAACACCATCTCCACAACACACAGGCGGTAAATCATGGATATACAGGGACAAGAGGAGAGGGCCTAGAATGATTCTTAAGACCTGTATGTAAACAAAGTACTCGACTGCTGATTATATATAAACAGAATTTATTCCATCGGAGAACGTCAGAAGAAACATTTAAATAGAACAATTTGGAACTTTGCTTATAAAAACCCAACAAAACTCTACCCAGCCTCGAGTTCTTGTCCAGTCTCATTAATAAACACAGAAGTCACAAATAATTTCTAAAGCCTACACACTAGAATAGAACAATACAATACATCAACCTTTCACTAGCATTAACTGGCATAATTACAACACTTACATTTAAATGGAAAATTCTACCTCAAACGTGTCACCTCAGTGCTCCGGACAACTCTCACAAACTACGGGATGAAATCACTCAACTCGCTAAAGACAAAATGATATCGTAAAAAATGGCAACAATACAAAGTTTAATCAAATGGACACTAATGGACAGCTGGAGTGAGTCATGGACAGATACAGTCACAGTCACAGACCTTCTTGCTTTACATTGTAAGGTTTAAAAAAGAACAACATCATAAATAGGCCCCTGCTTTTCTCCTGAACTGAAAAAATTAAAACCACGCACCCCAGAACCTCGAAACCCTATAAAGTCATCGTAACTACTGCCATGAAAACTATATTTTTAAACTGGAAATCAAAAA